TGCCGGTGACGCCTCGCACCTGGCAGGGGTGGCACGTGGCTCGGCATCCGTTCCCCGTGGGTAGTGGCACAGGGCCGGCGCGTGGTCATTCATTTTCGGGCCTGGGAGGACGCGTGGACAAAGTACACCAAGTAGATCGCAGCGTGGCTGCATAATAAAGGTTTGAACCATTGAACGGACGTTTATATAGCAAAGTATCTCGAATAGCAGGCTTACCCAGGATACCAAAGCCACGGTGTTGAGTGAAGAACACAAGGCGAGCGAGCGAGTGCAGGGCTCGGGACCCTCCAAGTGCCCATCAGGCCAGCAGCGTCACGGAGGGAGGCGAAGGCTCTCCAGCAGCGATGGCATCCGTAGCCCCGGTGCCAAGAGTGGAAGAAAAATTCATTTCCGTCCAGCATCTCCATGGAGAACACCAGTACGGACAAAAATAACAATTGTTCGCAGATGACTGAGCAGCTTGTATCAGAAAAAAGGTCACCAAATAATCTTTCTGATGGGTTGGTATGAGCTGAAGGGTTCTGCGCAGCCCCAGCGAACCTCCAAGCCCTGTAACCACGACCTGTTTTGTGTAGCTGCACGATCAAAGCATGAATGGGCAATCGCTGCCAACAGCCAGCTCAGAAACAAAAGGGCAACTTCCCTTCAGGTCTGAATCATCAGAAACTGAGCGAATGAGGCTGGGAACAGGACACTGCCTGGGACGAGGACTTTGTGCACACGTTCAAACAAGGTACCTCTGCAGAGGAGTTCAGCCTAACAACCAAACTGCCTGCACGTACGCAAACCACGGGACATCTTGTCAGACGTTTTAAAATCTACATCAAATTAGGCTCTTTTCTGTTGGTCCTGCTTCTCTTCCCGTCGCTGGCTTTGGATCATGAATTGGGACGGGACGCTTGCCCCTCCGTCTTAGGCTTGTGGTGACCGGTGCCCTGTGCACCCTTCCAAGCTGGCAGCCCTGCTGCCGAGTCGAGCAAGAAAAATGCCAAGAGCATTTTTAATCAGGGTTGGAAGTCGTAAGACTTCCCAAGAAGGCATCAGGTTTTGTTCCTTTACAGGCACTCACAGGAAAGCCTGGTTTCCTATGGATTTCTCTCTTGCGTAACGAACATTTTTTTGTGAATTAGACTATGATCTTCTGTTATTGCCTGTCTTCTCCTCACCTAGTACTGCAGCAGGGTCGTTTTCCACTGTTCCTTGTCAATCCCACACCTCCTGCGCATCTCTTGGTAGAGAGGCATGAAAGGCTTAAACAGGAGACTTTAGAGGTAAGTAAAATACTCGACTCCAAGAAGCAGCTCTGGGCTTGGAGCTCAGCTCCAAAACTTCCCCTGGGGTCAGACTGTCCCTTTGTTAAAGCACCCTTCTGCCAGCCGGTCCCGGTGGCCAGCAGAGCTACCCGCAGGGTTAATTTGCTCGCTGCTTTTGAAGGGGCCAGGTTTGGAAACCCCACGCTGCTTCTGATGTCGTGCTGGCGATGACAAGCTCATGCCTGCCTGCTCCTTCCTCCTACCTGCATAGCTGCTGCCCGCCGTGGTCAAGGTGGAGGTGAGGATCTCCAGCAGTGCTCGCCCTGGCCTCTTGGGAGCCTGGGGACCGCTGCCTCTCGGCAATAGTTGTGGTCTCTTCTCTTGCTGACTTTGCTGCCAGCCTTTCTGCAACAGTTCAAGATTTCTTTTCTGGTGCCTTTAGCATAGGGTGTGTTTTGAATTAATTTCTCTTTTCTCCTCTGCATTTGGTGCGGAGAAAATAAATCACAAATTCATAAAAACAGTTTTCTGTTGGTTGGGTTTTGTTTTTTTTTTCCCCAACTACTTTGGTTCATTTTGTGGCTTCTTGCTCTTTTCCCTCTTTTCCGTTGCCTTTTGGGTTGCCGGACGCCCCTTGATTGCAGGAGAGGAGACAACCACCCTGCCTCGGCTCATGGCGCTCTCACCCCCAGCACAAAGGAGCTGGAAGTGCTCAAATAATCCCGAGTAGTCCTGGCCGTAAGGTCCCCCCGGTCCTGGGCCAGAGGCAAATCTGCTTTTCTTCCAGCGTTTTCTGCTTTCCTCTTTCATTGCCCAGCCAACGTCTGATCCCCGTCAGGCAGCCTGAGCCCGCTTACCAGAAGTGACACCGCGAATTCCTCTTCACTAGGAGATGCTCCCTTGGCCCCGAGAGCAGTACAGCCGCCACGGCTTCGCCCCTCGCTCAAACTTGGCCCATCTCTTGACAGGGCAAACATCACGTCTTGAGTTGCAGTCCTGCCGGTGACTGCTGCGGGCACGAAAGGCTCCCTCTCCTCGGGCATCTCTCCGGAAGCGTCCTTCTTGTGGTTTTGGCTCAGTTTTCAATATACCTTCAAGTCGCAGCCTCTAAGGGCTTCACTTCTCGGAGGTCTGCACATCAGCCAAGATTAAAGTCATCTTTTTCCAGTATTCTCAGAAAAAAAGTGTTGGATTTTGTCCCCAAATTGGAAAATTATTTTTGGCTCACAGTAGCAACAAAAACAGTCTGGATTGCTACTTTTTCCTTGTCGAGGTTTGAAAAGTCCTCTCTGCGTAGTAAAGCGTTGTAAAACTCAATCCAGAGAATCCACAATTTTAAAAACAGATAGTAAAATAGGTTTGTTGTGGTTTTAGTACCGATAGCTATGGTACTAAACTAGAGTATTACTATGTTATATGACTATGATTTGCTGCTGCTTACCAGAGGGACACGATCTTCTCTGAGAGATAAATACAGGTAGAAAAGTCATTTTCATCGTTGCTGTTCACAAGGTCAGTCCCTTTAGGTTTGCTGAAAGGCAAATCTCGGTTGCAGCTTCTGAGATTTGGCCTGTAGCTGCAAAGGGATAGATGTTAACTCGCTGTAGGCTGCGGGGAATTGAAGACTGGACCGTGTCTTATCCAGAAGGTATTTTCCTCAACATTCAGTTAGATCTTTGTCTGATGTGGCAATAGATGAAACACTTTCCACTGGAGCTCAGACATATCTAAAAATGCCATGAGATGCAAGAAAGATCGGGCGCAAGTAAACATTAACCTAAGATCACAGGGAGCAGAGCCAGGGAATACCTGGCCCTGTGGAGCTCGAGGTCAGGTTTTCCCCTCCTGGCTTTTCGCCACATCGCACTGCGGTTTTCACGTCCTTTGCATTTTCTTCCCCTTTGCTTTCTCTCTTTGCTGAGGTTTGTTGTTTAGATTTCCCCTTTGCGGTCCTGTCTGCAGCACCTTCTCACTGCCCGTCTCCCTGCTGTCTCCTGATTTCTACTTTCTCTTGGTAGGACTTCCTTATCCCACCTGCTGCCTTTCTCCCTTGCTTCTCTTCCACCTCACCTGCGACTTTTGCGGGTGTCCTCCTGCAGGGTTCAGTCTCTTCCCACTCCTGCCCGAACACGAAGACAGTGGGATTGACCCATATGCGCTTTTCTGTATCCCACGTGAGATCATATCCTGGTCCTCTTCTCCAGAAGGATGAGTTCTGCTCACCGGCACCAGAGAAGATGCTTTGAGCTGCTCCTGCTGTGAAAATTCACGGCTGGTCCCCATCCATAGCAGCCCCTGCTGCAGAGAAAGCATGCCTTGTGTCCTGGTTTCGGCAGGGATAGAGTTAATTTCCTTCCTAGTAGCTGGTGCAGTGCTGTGCTTTGGATTTAGGGTGAGAACAATGTTGATAACACATTGATGTTTTCAGTTGTTGCTAGGTAGTGTTTATACTAGTCAAGGACTTTCCAACTTCCCATGCTCTACCGACTGAGCAGGCTGGAGGGGCACAAGAAGCTGGGAGGGGGCACAGCCAGGACAGCTGACCCAAACTGGCCAAAGGGACATTCCATACCATGGGACGTCATGCTCAGTATATAAAAGCTGGGGGAAGAAGAAGGAAGGGGGGATGTTTGGAGTGGTGCTGTTTGTCTTCCCAAGTAACCCTTACGCGTGAGGGAGCCCTGCTTTCCTGGAGACGGCTGAACATCTGCCTGCCGATGGGAAGTAGTGAATTAATTCCTTTGTTTTGCTTTGCTTGCGTGCGTGACTGTTGCTCTACCTATTAAACTGTTTTTATCTCAACCCACGAGTTTTCTCACTTTTACCCTTCCGATTCTCTCCCCCATCCCACTGGTGGGGGGGTGAGCGAGCGGCTGCGTGGTGCTCAGTTGCCAACTGGGGTTAAACCACGACACCTTGTTAGGCAGATGCTGTCTCCCCAGGCCAGTTGCTGCTGGCCCCTCGCGCAGCGCCCCGCCACGGCATTTTAGGAGGTGTTCCACCTGCAGCTTTCTACCTTCTCCCAGGGAGAGAGCTGGTGCTGCAGACCTGGGGCGCTGTGGGGTACCGTGGCCTCTCGTCCCGGGGCAACGCTGTGCTCTTAGCTTCTGTTCCGAAGAGAAGCACTGAGTGATCTGCTGACTGTGCCTGCGCCATGCCAACGCCATCCCGCGCAAAACGGCAGAGCATCACTGGAGGAGTTAGATGAGCCCTGCCTTATCCTCAGATGACTCCTGCCTCCGTGTGCCTTCCCTTCACCATCTTCCTCTGATCAGCTCTGCTCAACAGGGTCAGGCTGCAGTGCTGTTTTGGGGAAAAAAAACTAGACATGCTTAGGCAAAGGCACAAAAATTTAAAGGAGTACAAACTTCCCAGCCTAGCTGGCTAAATCTGATTTTTCTAGGCTTCGGTAACCAGCGAGGCCTTTGTTAGAAGGTGAAAAAAGATAACTCTAAAGAAGATAAGACAGAACTGGAACATGAAAAAAAAACCACGCTTGACCAATGTTGGGCAGACGCTAGTGGACAAGCTCCAAAGAAAAAAAAATCCCAGAAAAATGGACCTGAAGGAGTGGAGAAAGTGGAGTGAAGGGCTGGGGAGAAGGCGGCTCTGCCTCTGCCCTTTGGCAAACAGCAAAGGACCTGCGTCCCTTTCTGCAGCCATGAACTGAGGAGAATTGCTTGTCTCTGTAGCTGCTAAAACCTTTGTGTCTTTAAAAAACAGATGCAGAGGCCACTTTTTCCACTTGCTGGTCGGCGTTTCCTCCAGGAGCAGCTGAAGCCCTGTCTGCTGACCTGCGGGCAGAAGAGCTGCTGCAGTGAAGGCTCTTCTCAGCTATAGGCAACGCAGCTCCTGTCCCAGGGGCGCTCTGCCCAGCAGTACCACCCCAATGTACAATTTCGCACAAATCCTTCCCTCTCTTACACCCTGCAGAGTCATTTACCAATGGGAGAGTGAGCCGAGGCCCAGTCTGGTTCATACTTACCCACAGAAGCAGGAACCATGGCAATTCCAGCGCAGAAGCTTGCAGATCCTGGGGTGGGTTGGCCAGGCTAGCAGCTAAAAGCCTTTCAGTCTCCGAGGAGATTCTTCGGCACCTCAGATCAAAGCATGTCTAAAAAAAAACTTCTGGACTGAACTTATATGCGTAAGTTGTCATATATGTCACATGGAGACTCCCACCACATAAAACACACTTTTTCCCTCTCCTGCTGCAAATCCTAGGCTTGGCTGTACTCAGATGCCAGGGCAACCTGTAAGTCAGCTATAGCATTGTTTCCCTGTTGTCCTCTCCATCGAGAGACCAGGCCGATCAATATCCACAGCAACAGTTATTAAGGAGCTAATTCTGTGGGTTTTCAGCCCAGGTGAAGAGCTCTAGAAACGCTCTTTTTAGTCTTGGCCCATCCTGCTGAGTATGTGTCCAAGACTGTGTGTCACTGGAACATGGGAGATCACAACCAGGAAGAAAACACGTGGAATCATTCCCAGCCACGAGTTTTGAAATCTGAAGATGAGTCTTACTATAAAATGATTGGACTCCTTTCAAAACGAACTCTAAACTTGGGAACCGTCAGCGAGCCCTGAGTTTATGATGGTGTATGGCAGGAGGGTGAAACTGGCCACCTGAGCCCAACAGAGGTGCCCTCCATCATCCACCGAGGCAGCAGAGCAGCAAGGTCTCTGCTAATCTGTCCTATGGCACCAGCTGTCCCAGGCTTGAACACGGGAGTCAGTTCAACCCTCAAACCATGACCAAAAGATTGCCGAGTGTAGGAACGTAGAAGATAGGATTTCTCATAACACATCATTATAAAATCTTGCAGTCTAACATCCTGCCGCAGAACAACCTGGGACCATAAACTTCAGAGAAAGGCAAAGAACAAACTGAAACAACCACAAAGCAAAAATCCACAAATTGCCACCACCACCACCTTGTCCACAAGAAAATTTCCGGCAGGCAACGCATTGCTGTGGGCTGAAGGTATCATAACTGTCAATCTCAGTGGCACTTTCCTTGATGTCGCGGCAGAGGCACGGTGCTCATCTCTAGCTCTCTCAGGACTCTGGATATCCTGGACCTGTTGTAACAAGCTTCTCCTAGCAGGACAGAACCCTTCTCCTTGTGTATTGTTATGCATCGTAATCTCTGGCACTGGGGGCAGAAGATAGGAATTCACAAATGGCTTTAAATCATCTAACTACGTAGATTGTTGCTGTAAGCAGCAGTCCTGACCCCCCGCCCCGCCCAAGCAAATTGCTAGCTGTTCTCTGACATGCAGTTGTGCTTCAGTCACCTGATCCAAAAGTACCTTCTACCTTCAACCAGGATTGGTTGGCATCTGGAACTCTGAGCTGACCTGGTTCTTTCTGAAATCACTCATGCCAACGCAAGGAAATGGGCTGGAGGAAGCCGCCCAAAGAGGACAAAACCATCTCTCACTGGCGGCACTGCCTGACAATTCCTCAAGAGGAGCACTGAGGAACTTCCTCAGTTGCATTTAGGCTGCTTGGAGGTGTCCCAGAGAAGGTTCCCATCAGCGGTCGCTAAACCTTCCGTCCACCAGCGAAGTCTGGTTTGTTAAAGCAAAGCCAGCAGCCGAGCCCCAGAGTCCCCCGGTGCTGAGCCCACCTCCTCTGCCTGCAGCACACACACACGCACCCGGGACTGTTCCCGGAGCCGAGCCATGTTCCTCCTCACCAGCTCTGCCAGGTCTGATGTCTCCTCCTTGAAGTACACTTCCTTCCTTCCTTCCTCTCTCATTGCCCCCTGTTAGCTTTTATTGTGCCTTTTTCCATACCCTCAGTCCCTGTTTGGGCCTCCTTAGCCCCTCACCACATCGCCATCTGCCCTCCCAGGCTCTGCTGGGGCTTGCAGAGCATCTCCTCCCCACCTTCTCGCCCCTCTTTGACTGTCTGCGTAACAGATGCCCAGAGTAGCTGCTAGAACTCCTCACGCAGATCCCGCGTTTTTCTCTGCTGCAGAGGTGTGTAGAGGGGCTGGATTTGCAGAGGGGCCCCGGCAGCAGCAGTCTAGCAGTGGCCAAACAAGTCAGAGGGTCTTTAACAAACCCCATGGTGTCACGTGCCCCTGCTCCAAAGTGATTTTCCATTTCCAGAGTGCTTTGCTGTGTGCTGAATGAATCAAATCCAGGATTGTCACAATTTTAAAACCTCACAGAAGTAACTTTTAAAGCGACTTGCTCTTGTTCTCAATTAAATGTGTTTAAAACTAAGTCAGTCTGAGAAACTGTGAAAACTTTAAATAAAGCAGGGGTTGGGGGGGTTGTTCTTTTATTTTAAGCTTAATGGATTTTTCTACAAGAAAAAAGGTATTAATGGAAATTTCAGTGTAAAAAGTTCCAAACTTGAAAAAAGTATTGCCAGGTTTTACAGATTCAAAAAGCTCATCTTGCTGTTTTGCTGATGTGGTTTTCTTTTTTGATATTTACCACCCTGTCTTCTCACAAACTCTGTTTTTTCTTTTGCAGGCTTTTGCTGGTTTTGCTGGTGCAAACGTGGACGTAGCTCACAGCACAGCCCCACGAAGAGCTATAAGCATGGGGGGCACAGGGGGGACCTCAGCCTGCCACTGCCACCATGTGGGATGCAGGAGACAAACTTGAATGCCAAGACTTCGCTTGACCAAGATGGTCAAAAGCTTCCCCATCACTCAAGATCAGACTCATCCTCTCCAACTCCCCTCCTTGAGGTGCGTGTTTCTGGAGCAAACAATCGCAGTCTTGCCCCACTTCAAGCTCGCGGCCATGCCGTTCTCAGCAGGAGGCTGGGGGATTGGCATCAGAGGCAGAAAATAAAAGACCTTCTAGCTCAGTCCCAGGCTGGGAAGCCGCTGAGCTCAGCCAGCAATGCAGAGCTCTCCATGGGATATTGAGAACAATGACAGGGCAGTCATGGAATGGTTAAACATAGTCAAAGAGAAACAACAGGAGCTTTTCGTGCAGAAATCCAGGCAGTGCTGACAGCTATAGGCGGGCCCTGAATTGTTCATTCCCATGTTCCCAGCTTGCTAAAAACCTGGGCAGTCTGGGCTTCCATGGGTATTTGAGTGAGCATCCCAGCCGTGCTAGTCAGCCTGCTTGTATCTCCATCATTTGCCATAGTAAATCAGAGACTTCCGTGTTACGCCCTGGGTCTACCTGTCTGTGCTGCAGGGATGGGCTCCTATAAATCTCTCCTCTCTGGCCATGAGAGCGCCAATAAATCTGTCTTGGATGCATGTCCTGACCAAGAAGGCAACAATAAATTTCTTGTAAGTGGTTGAGAGAGGAGGAACAAGGAAAGAAATAGGATATTCACACATGCTGTTGCACCTGCTTGCATGGAAAAAGAAAGCCAGGCACCCCGCTCTGGCAGTCAGGTGCTGGCTCCATTTTCCACCCAGCCGTTGCCTCTTGCTCCAAGCCCAGGGGCTGCCCTGCTCAGCCCCACTGCGTGCCGGCTGCCCTCCCAGTGCCGCCCAGGCACCGCTGTGCTGGAGGTCCCCACTCACCCCTGCACCTCCTCACCTCCAGACAGCATCTCCCCGCCGTGGCTGCCTCCTTCTGCTTGGGAGCTCACAGAGGAGATCCCCGGGAGCTGCAAGGACAGTTCCCGTGCTGCTCCCTGCCACTTTCAGTTCCCCAAAGTACTTTTTTCAGAGAGACAATCTCCCTCCGTACCACACGCTCACCTTCTCCTCTTTTCATCCCCAAGGTCGTCCTATCCCCCTTTCACCCTCCTTGGCTGTATGAACGGCAGTCTTCTAGGGTCATCTGCCGGGTCTTCTGTGCCTTTATAGCACTGCCCCAGGGGGATCTGGCCTCGCTTGGGGTTTCTGTGCCGCCCTGTTGCACAGGACAATCCCAGCAAAGCTGCAAGCCTGCTGCTGCAGAGGAAGGGGGAACACCGTCACTGAAAAGCATGTTCAGCCAGGACCGCTGTTTTTCTTGAGGTCTCACACCCAGTTCAGAGGATGCTCTGTTGGCTCCTGTGGCTCCCCGGTCGTGGGATCCTGTCTGCAAAGACTCTCCCCTCCCTTGCTGCAGAGGTGGGAGTCAGGATGCGTTAGGGCAAGAGCAGCTTTCCAGGGGTCCCTGGGACTGCAGCACTGACCAACCACCCACTGTCAGCAAGCTTTTGGTGGCTCCATCCCCAAAGCCAGCTTTGCTTGTCCTGCAGGCAGGAAGATACCTGTAAAAAAACCCCAAAAGCGTCCAAAAGTCACGCACGTACACAGCCATTTATTCTGTTGTAGTTTCACTTGTTCTCAGCTCAGCCCAGTCGGGTCCCCAGGGGACACGTGGTGGGAGGCCAGAGGAGACACAGACAGCCTTTCCGCAGTCTCAGCGCCAGGGCGACTGGTGACAAAGGGCAGGAAAGCACGTGACTGTTGGAGGATAGAGAGCAAGTGTACACCTGTGTGTGAGTGGAGGGGTCCCAGCAGGAGCCCCCCAGGGATCTGTGCTGAGACCTGGGCAGCTTAACACATGTGACCTGGAAGAGTCAGACCTGGAAGGGACCTAGAGGAGCTATTCAAAACATTTTGACCAGCACAATCAAGTAGAAAACGGCTTATTTTTGAAGAACAACTGAGTAGCTGAGATGCTCCAGCCTGGGAAAGAGATGGCTGAGGTCTGAAGCCATCAGTGATCTGGGGAGGAGGAAAGGGCTAGTTGTTAATGTCTCTCCCAGCACAAGAACAGTGGCACTCCAAACAGCGCTAGCCTGTGACAGCTTCAAAACGAGCAAAAATGGCTTCTCCACCCAACATGGAATTGGGGCTTCAGTGCCACAGGATACTGTGACAGTTTACAAGGGATCAAAACAAGACTGCATAAATCACAGATTGATCCATTAACATTTATTAAATGGATAAAAACTCTCTCTTAGGCAGGAAGTTCTGGTGCCACAAAGGAAGGAAGAACCTTAATGGATAAGGGGCATGCAGCACTCAGAGCAGCCCCACGATCTGGGGATGGAGGGATGGTCCATGCTGCCGTCAGTGCCTGGGGGTCACAGGCCTGGGGTCAGGGCGAGGCAAAAGCTCTCCCAAGCTGGGCACATCCCTGGAAAGGCGTCCCATTTCCACCTGGACTTTGTGAGCAAGGACCAGGACCCTGCATAATCTGGAGACAGAGGGGGCAATTACCAAATCCTTTGGCCAGGACACCTGGCTCATCTGACTGTCACCTCTGTTGTCCTGCAATGAAACTGCTTTGCTGAACGAGGGAGAGACAATGTGTGCTTGGGAGCTGGAGGAAGCAGCTCGCCTGCTTCTGCAAGATTTTACCCAGCACACAGATGGCTCCTCACTGCATGAGAGAGAGAGGTCCACTTCACACAGCCTAGTGCAACACAGAATATTGCAGAGCACTTTATTTTTGCTAGGGTGGGCAATAAAGCAAGCCCTGTCAGTGTGCGGGACCTCTGGAGGTACACTGGTGTGCAATTGCAGCACTAAAAACACCAACTGCAGTGGTTTTTTTAGCCAAGGGACCAAAGCCACTTTTAACACCAGCCTGGCATCCAAACCCCGTCCCCGCAGGCATCCCCGGTGTAAAGCTGTCACTGGGCAGCCTGCCTTTCGGCTGAAGCCAGCAGCTCTACCGGCTTTTGCAGGGCAACAGCACATGATGCAAGAAAAAAAAAGAGCAAGTGCTGCTGCAGTGCCCACCTTGCAGCAGGAGCAGGCTCTGTTACGCCTGCTGCCTGCCTGCTCGCCGGGAGCAGTCCTTTACCCAGGAGATACCAGGGAAAGCACCATGTTCCTGGCCTGGCTTTTGGCTGGGGACACACCACGTGCATCCAGCACCTGCTCCTAACCTCCTTCAGCCTAGCACAGGGCCAGCGGCCAGGCCCAGCTCCTGGGTTAATCCACCTTATACCTAAGGCACCTCATACAGAGCAGCCAGTGGGTCTCCAGAGGTGGGGGAGACTTCAAGCAAATTCACAGCATCTGGCTACCTGCAAGGGATCTCATCTCCTGTCACTGCAGGATTTTTGTATTCTTTTTCCAGCCTATTACAAATTCTCAGGCATTTCACCGAGACCCTTCCCTGTCTAAAACAAGTCCTGCCTACAGCTGTCCACTCTGCCCATGGCCATTGGGATGTCAGGAGAGGCTGATCCCTTCCCCAGCCCCACCAGTACACCAAGGCCCTTCTAAGAACCAGCCTATGTTGCGTTACGGGCCAGCTCAGCTCTTCTGGATGCTCCCAAGGGTGGAAGTTGTCGTGCTCTATGTCAAGGTGTCGTGGTTTAACCTCAGTTGGCAACTAAGCACCATGCAGCCGCTCGTCTCCAAGGGGGATCTTATAGTAGGCATCTGCTACTGACCTCCAAACCAAGACGATAAGGCCAACGAAGCAATATTTGGGTCACTTAGGGAAGCTTTGGGTCAACAGAACCGGGTTCATATGGGTGACTTCAACTAACCAGGCATTTGTTGGTGGAACAATACAGCAGCTCACATGTCATCCGCCAAGTTCCTGGAGTGCATAGAGGACTGCTTCCTCATACAAATGGTAGATGTGCCAACTAGGAATGAGGCACTGCTGGACTTGCTACTCACAAACGAAGAAAACCTGCTTTGTTTCTCAGTTAGTGATAGCCTTGGCTGCGGTGATCACAGTATTGTGGAGTTTGGGATCCTGCTGAGCACGCTGAAGGTTAGTACTAAGACAAAGATTTTAGATTTTAGAAGAGCAAACTTCAGCTCGCTCAGAGCTCAACTGGGAGGGATTCCGTGGGAAGCTTCCATGGAGGATAAAGGAGCTAGTGAGTGCTGGGAGTTTTTCAAGAACGCTCTCTTGGAAGCACAAAAACACTTCATCACCTTTAAAGGTAAGGGAAGTAGGCAGAGCAAGAGACCCCCTTGGCTTAACTGCGAGCTTCTGAGTCTGCTCAAAACCAAAAGAGAAGCATACCAGAGATGGAAAAGTAGACCAATACCCATTGAGAACTACAAGGGCATTGCCAGGGCGTGCAGAGATGCAGTTAGAAAAGCAAAAGCTCAGCTCAAATTGAAATTGGCCAGAGATGTCAAAAACTACAAGAAAGGCTTCTTTAGGTACGTGAACAACAAGCAGAAACAGAAGGAAAATAT